TCGCCATTTTCATGCGCTGAAAAGCCCAGATATGGGTTCCACATACCGAAAAAGCTCCAAATGAAGAACTGGAGAAAGAATTTCAAAAACTCGATGAATGAAGAATAGAAAGAAGCAAAGTTGTTAAAAGTAAAATGGCCATAGTTCTAAAGTACAACATGGATGGCAGGCAATTAAACACATACATTTGTCGCTCACGTTGAAGGGCTGGGCACTACTTATTTGCACATGTGTCACTCGTCAATGCCGTAGTTTTGCGATGTCGCACAAAAAAAGCTTTCCCTCATTCTATAAGAAAAGTCGCGAAGAGTGGCAGCTCTTCATGCAAGGCCGCTTTAGTACTGAATTGTCACGCACTCGGGCGATTTTTTCATCGAAGCAAATCTCAAAAGCAATCGAATCATCTACATTACTAGCTCCAAGGTGCGATAGCTGCTCAGGGCATTCCCAGGACTTCCGTGCGGGGAAGGGGGAGGAGGGCGTAAAAACTTTTCTCAAATAAGGTGCGTGAGGCCACGCACTCCGAACTTTTCTGGGATACTTCTCATAAATTTTGCGGGCTCATAATCCGAATTCTCTACACGGCTAATTTGAATTTTTGGAAAACTTTTTTAACCATTTACAAGCATAAACAGTTCACGTGCACATTTTTATAACTTATGTGAGTAGCTTTAAAAGATTTCGCGACCCATTAGTAGCTTTAAAAGATTTCGCGACCCATTCTCGGAGAGGGGGCTGCCCTTCGCCCTCGGTCCGCCGCTGCTGCTTTTGTGTGTTAGAAAAACAAGAAAATGAAGATAGATCAGCACGACTGAAACGTTTTTGTGCTTGGCATTCTTACTCATAATCGATATTGCATAATGGATGAAAGAAAAATAGCCAAGTTGATTCAATGGAAGATATTTGATGCCAGTTTTCATCAATGAAGAAAGATTATTTGTCACCATGACCAAAGTCTAATGTGTAATGATGTTCGGTCAGAGCCCGAATAACACGCCAACAGAATCAAACTGGCAATACATCAACAAAAAAATTGTGTTTACTTCCTAATATGGTCAGAAGTCAAAAAAGCATGAAACAAAAATGGAGACAAAGTTAATTGCTATTCTATAACTGGTGTTTTTACGACCATCACTTAGTGTACTCACTAAATCTGAGTAACTGAGTAAGACTTACCTATGATGCTCAATTTCCACGCCGCCAAGCAAGATTTTACAAGCCAAGGTGAAGTCCACAGCAACACGGGACAGTAGCGGTTGTCCCCTGTGCATAATACCCTCATCCACACTCAAATCAATATCAGCAGCCTAGAAATCAGTTTCGAAGTATTGTAGACTTCCGATAAATGTAGAGTGGATCTGCTACCTCCCAACTTCTAGCTCCATAAGGGTGCTGCTTTGTTGGTAGTGAAGATGGGACAGTAACCGTGATGGGATGCGGCGTACCTTCCCAGGAGTACGTAATTACTGCATACGAACATGCTTCTCCTGTACTAGATATCCCTGAAGATTAAAAAATCGAGAAAAAAATCCTTGATATAAAAGTAATGAAATCAAGCAATATTCTGAAAATGTGAGCCGCACTAGGAGAGGGCAGTCGCAAAGACTTACCGCAGTAGATTTTCCTGATGAAGTGTCCGCGGTCATCAGTTCCTGGATGAATATATCTATTGCACTGAACCTACAATATACCATTTTCACGAACAGTTTGACAGGAAGTCAAAACGATGTTTCTGAATAAGAGATTGCTCACAGAAGTGAAATGATAGTAGCACAGAGCTTACCTTATAAGTGTAGGCATCTGGTGTGGCAGTGGTCAACTTTCGGGTAGTCGGACAAAAGTTGTAAAACCTGTAACTTCCTCTTTCAAGGACTAGTGAACGAAAAAAAAAAGCTCTTGGCCATACTTCGTAGTCCCTTGAGGCGAACCCCATGATCCAAGACCATCCTGAGTCACTTCATGGCGATCCTCCAAGCCTGCCATTGAGATGACAAAAGTGCCTACTTCGGTGAA